GAATTCAAGCATTATAATATGAACTTTATCGGCGTTTATGTGGACGGGTCAACCGGTACCTCATAATCCTCTTCAGCCTAATTTTGACAAAAATCATTTCATACGAGCTTATCAGAATTTATTTATGAATGCAGACGACAGAGGACTTTACCTTTCAAGATCAGAATTTTCAAAAGGATATTCCTTATTTCGCTTCGACCTGTCACCTGACCTTTGTGATGGCTCTCATTTAAATCTAGTTCGACACAGCAACTTAAGATTAGAAATAAAATTTGGGACTCCCTTACAACAAACTGTTTCGTTATTAGTGTACGCTGAATTTGAAAATTTGATAGAAATCAATAAAGCTCGAAATATTCTGTACGATTTTGGAAACTGATGAATTCATCACAGATTCATCAAATCTTATCTCGAGATCCTATTTCTTCGAGATATTATGCGGGTGTTTTTCCTTGTGATAAAATACCTGCGATTCAAAGTTTTCCCTGTGCACTGGTGCTCAATACGGACAAACATGATGAAAAAGGAACTCATTGGCTAGCTGTCTACCTTGCAGATCAACAGACTCTGGAATTTTTTGACTCTTATGGACTCCCGCCTGAAGTATATGGAAAAGATATCACATCCTTTGTCAAGAAATATCGTCATGTTTGCTGGAACAAGATTTCGCTTCAGAGTTTAACTTCTAATGTATGTGGACATTATTGTATTTATTTCATTATTAAACGCTGTCAAGGACTCTGTATGGAACTCATTGTATCACCCTTAGATGGGAAGAATCATGATTTCCAAATATTTCAATTTGTCAAAAAAAGATATGGTGTAAACATGATTTTTAAAAAAATAAAGTTGTTTTAATTTGTAAAAATGTCTCTTGTGTTTCTTGTTTCTACACTTATTTAAACAAAATGAATAAATGTCTTATGCAAAAAGGATTTTCGATTAAAGTATAAAAGTCAGTGTTTTCTTAACATGCTGTCATTTCCAAAAATGGAACTGCCCAAGTTCGTACATCCTTCTACTTGTCTTCTGAGCGGACCTACCGGTTCGGGAAAAACGGTTTTTTGTGAAGAAATTGATAGATCATAAAATGTTCCATCCCATGCCGACCAATATTATTTATTGCTACGGAAGTTATCAACCTCTTTTTAATTCCATGAAAAACGTAAATTTTGAAGAAGGATTACCATCTAACCTGCAGACTCTTCAAAATGCTTTAATTATCATAGACGATTTAATGTCTGAATTAGCAAGTGATACTCGCTTAAGCAAACTTTTTACAAAAGGAAGTCATCACCGAAACCTTTCAGTCGTTTTTATAACACAAAATCTTTTTCACCAAGGCAAGGAGATGAGAAATATTCATTTAAATTCCCATTACCTTGTCCTATACAAAAATCCTAGAGATAAAAGTCAAATTATGCATTTAGCTAGACAAATGTTCCCCGGAAAAGTAAAGGCCTTTCAAGAAATTTTTCAGGATGCTACTTCAACTCCATTTAGCTACTTGTTGATTGATTTACGACCTGAAACAAGTGAAACGCTTCGCCTTCGTACAGGCATCTTTCCTGGGGATAAATACTATGTCTACCAGCCCCGATAGTTCATTTCAGTTTGAGACGTCGAATGGCTAACATGTCTTCTCCCATCGTGATCGATTTCGAAGGTTTTCAGTGGATGCCTCATTGCTTACATTGTTAAAGAATTAGCTTTTTACTCCGTGCATGAAGGATATCACAGTTGCTGGTCATTTTTACCTCCTCAGCCTTGGAAAACATTATCACGATCTCAGCAAAAGTGTTTTGCTTGGGTCACAAGAAATCGTCATCACATGTGAATTGGAGTGAGGGTGTTTTACCTTATACTCATCTTCGTATTATTTTGCAATATTTGTCATCTATTTATTCTGTCATATACGTGAAAGGATTAGAAAAGAAATTATTTTTAGAAAATTTATTAGGTAGAGACATCATAAATCTAGACTGTCCTAAGATAGAGAATTTAAAAAAGAAAAGTTCTTTAACATGTTCGATTCATGCAAAAGGATTTAATTGCTGTGCTTTAACCAAAGCGGCTGCATTTGCTACCTATATAAAAGAAAGTGTGCAAGAAGAAGAGCTCATTTGTCATCAGCATGTCTCATCTGAAGGATGTGGATTATCTAAAACTATTAGGAAAAAGTCGAATAAAAGCAGCTGTACTGAAAAAGTGTCCGAATCATCTCATAAAATCAGTTTGTGAGTGTGTTTTAAATCTTCTAAAAGGAAACGTACCCATCACCAAACGGGTCAAAAATCGACTCGCCCCTTTTAAAAGAACTTTAAGAAAACTAGCGGACAAAAAAGTACCTCTTTTTAAGAAAAGACGTCTTTTGGTTCAAAAAGGTGACGGTTTCCTATCTTTCCTGATTCCTGCAGCAGTCAGTGTCTTATCCTCTCCTTATCCATGGAACACAGTAAGAAATTTGCGCTGGTACCCCTGGATCGTATGCAGCAATTTGAAGATGAACATTTGAGTGATTTAGATACCCAAATTCAAAACATCTTAAAAAAGAAAATGGACGATGAAGAAAAGTCCAAATTGTACATCCAGGTTCTGCAAAAAGTATGTTACATTTCCTCATGTGAACACTTCCGAAGAACAACCGCCTGAACAACGTTTCTGAGAAAGATATAGAAAAAGGAAATTATGCAAACAGTTCCTGTGAAGCAGAAAAGAACGGCACAGAAAATAATAGATTTCTAAAAGAGCATCAGATTTCCTGGACACAGAATAAAGAACTCATTCTGGATGATCATGTGTTTTCTGGCTCTGACATTGTTCAGTTGATAAACTTTCTGTTGAGAAATAGAACTCAAAAACCTTTTGCCTTTGAACAGTTTAAAAATGTACTGAATGTTAACAACTTTCCTCAAGACTTTGTGAAAAAACAACATTTAATGAATGTAAAAACTATGTATGCTAGACCTAAAAGAAACGCATCTTCCAAACTATGGCTGAAATTGTAATGATACGTGAATAAATGTAATGGCTGATCATTGGTGTTGTATTTCTTTCTAATTAAGTTAACATAATTTTTGAAAATAAAATATGACAATTATTTTCTAGGAAAAAATTACCTTTCATGAAATCCTTTCAAATAAGAAAAAAACACAATTTTATCAAACTTCTGTTTATTTTTTTTTCTAAATAAGTTTTCTTTTATACACATACAAATGCATGATTCTGCATATATATATTATATATATTTACATACAAAATTTCATTTTCAGATAAGGTTCTAACATAAACATAAAAAGTTCTTCTTCAATATACTAATGACCATACGGCAATGTGCTCAAGTCTTTTTGAATTACCCGTTTATTCCAACACAATTCTGTACAGTTTTGTTTCGGTTTATTCATCCACTTTCTTCTCTTCGCTTCTCGGGTGATTTTGGAGGGGTTGTGGAGAGAGATGATCTCACTTCGGTCGAGGCTGCAGACCAGACTTTTAATGGCTTTCAAAATTCAGCAACTGGGAATTCCGGAAAGTTCAATGAAAATCCTCGGACTTTGCAGCAGGTTTTCCCAGTGGCCGTCTGGTATGCGTAGTTTTTCGGTCCTCCTGAAAAAATAAAACATCATGAGAAAAAAAGAGATAATAGAAAAAACTTTCAATATTTTTGGTACATGTTAAATAAAGAAATTTTTTTAAAGGTCCTTACCAGAGACAAAGGTTTTGATGACATCACCCTCCAGTTCATCCGTAAATTCACCCAGGAAGTTGCCCAAGGGGGGATCATTGCGGCCATTCGAGGCATAGATGATGGAGTCTGTGTCGTGGTACAGGACATCTCTACCCAACTTCTCCATTTCACTATACAGCTTGAGACGAGCCCAAGCTGTTGTGAAGGTCGCTAGGAAAATGTTGGTAGAGGCATCCTGCGGCACAAACTCCTTCGCAGATTCCCAGGAAATGGCAGCCACCTCAGGCGTGGGAAGAAAGACATCTTTGATCTGAAAATAGAAGAGTCATGAGTTAACAGCTCAAAATAGTCATAAGTTAACAGTTTGAAAAAACTCTTTGAGTTTACAGATGAATAAAATCGGTAAGGAAAACTTACTTTTTTAGTAGGATCCGCCAACATCTTATTGAAGTCTGGCACCGTGTGGACATAGGTCAGTTGGGCTTTGTTCACGTTCATACCCCATCTGAGTGAAAAAAAGCTATCATAAATCACAACGAATTAAAAATATTTATAAAAATTAAGTACAAAAGAAATCATCTTACCTGCCCCAGAAACTGTTCAGGGCCAACTTGGCGACTTGTCGACGCCCAGGGTTTTTCGATATTTTTTCGGCCTCCAACTTGACGCCCTCTCTTTCTTCATACTGGCGAATGTACTTCAGTCTGGCTTCTTCCGTCACACACTCCGAAGGCCATCCGCTACTTTCCTGCTTGATCTTCAGAAACAGATCAATGTATGATCTGAACAGAGAAGTAGACGATGCCTGGAAATGGTACACTTCGTAAATCTAGAAAATAAAAAATAAATGTCAGTTATAAAAAATTTTTAAAAGTAACCTCTGAAACTAAATAAAGATTAAAATAATCTTTGAGTACTTACATGTGTGATGCGGTAGCCTTTCTTTTTCGCCAGTTTGACTTCCTCCGTTACCCACGTTCCGACAAGAGCTCGCTCGTCGTCTGTGTGGGTACACGGAGTCTGCAGTTGAAGAAGGGCGCAAGTCCGACACAGGGGGAACATCAGCTTCTTCCGGCACCGATAGGGCAGTACCGGAAGATACAGATTCCGTGGAGGAATCACTCGGCATTGGATAATTCCAAAATAATCTTCCACATCTCTAAAGCTTTCCGTGATGATTGTTGGATGTCCCACAGGGTAGACGCAATACTTGTTCACCTGTGAATAAAAACAAAAAAAGTCAGAAAAAACACATCATAAAAATATACAGAAAATTTAGAAAAGTTTAAGTAAACATTTTTGAAATAATAAAAAGTACGAACCCAGGGATAGAGTGAGGTAAAATCCACATATTTTGCGTCTCCCTCGTGGAACAATTTGAGGGCATTGGTCCTTCCTCCAAAAAACGACTCGCGAGGATTGAGTCGATCCCTCAGATGGTGTTGATCCAGGAAAGCTTGGAGATCTGGATTTTCCTCCTTCTCTCTTTGAAATTCATGCTCCCACATTTCGATGACGTGGAAACCCTGGGTGCGAAGCTTTCTTGTCGTCTCTTCTGTCTTTTCTCTTAACGTTGCCATGGAAACCCCTTTCAGTGGATGTATGATATCACCATCGTAACACGAACTACATCCGTGAAAGAAACAGCCCTAAAATAATACAAATATATATTAATAGTCTTTAATTAAAAGTGTAAAATCATTAAAAAGAATCACATAGAAAAGGAATGGTTATATTTTACTTACCTGAAACTGATAGACGGTTTGTGTTTCTTGGCAGAATCCGTCTACCGAGATTCCGGCGACTCTGTGCTCTCCGGAACCGTTCAACGCATGTTGAATCTGTAGGCCTTCCGAAGCAGCAACAAAGTCCAACCATCGGATCGAATCAGGGCTGTAATTCGTTGAGTTGATGTAGCCGTGTGTAGGCACCATGGCAATCGTGTCGGGTTGAATGTGGCCACTCCGATACGTTGCCATACAGGCTGACGCAATGGTCACGTATCTGAAAAGACAAAAATAAGAACGATTTAATGAACTGTAAATATGATTATTATTGTATAAGAAAATGAGAAAATGACTTACTGGAATGGATCCACATTCGCCACATCCAAAAACTGGGCTCGAAACTCCAGGCAGCAACGGCGAAGAATGTCCACGTCCGATCTATTAAAAGAAAAAATGTTAAAAATACGAAATATAAAAATAAAATAAAATAAAAATAAAACAAGAAGAAAAAAAATATACCTGCAATAGGCCAGCATCTCATCTTGAAAGTTAAACACGCCCCCTTGTGTGCTTCATGCCAGGACAGAAATGCTTGTCGGCTGAAGTGCTCATGGTATCCGGGCTGTAGTACCGGGGCTCAGGCAGCGGTCCGACATAATTTTGGTTTTCTCGCGAGTTGAAAAAGATGGGGAAAGTATCCCTTTTTCAGCTCGCTGAGACCGAAGCATCCCCGGCAGTTTGGCCAACGCCATCGGTAGAAAATTTAACGAGTCTATGACCCGAATGTTCAGACTAGGGTGTCTTACACTCATGATCATAGACCCGTTAGGGATCACCTCCGGCGCTGTGCCTTGCTCCAGGAGCCAGGCCATCACGAACTGACCGTCGAACCTGTAAATAAAAAAAAAATTATGAATAATATTGAAAAAAAACAGTCCATGAAAACTAAAGCATGCAAACTATGGTATTTTTAACTTACCCTTTCATGTTGTGAGCCACGGCGGTGAAGCCCTTGTGCTGTGTGGTAAACAGCCAGGCGCAGAAGTTTTTGGCAAGCTTCGCATAGCCCGAAAACACTCTTCTGTGCCGTCGGCATACTGAGCCACCGCGAAATTTACAAGATGCTCCCCCGAAGACTGGTCCGTTTCAAAGTCAAAAAAGATGAGCTTATCCTCGGACTTCTTCGGGGCAACACGTCGCAAATAGCAACGGTGCTCAGCAGCCACGACAAACTGGTTGCAAGAAGGGCATTTGGTGGTTCCACATCCATGAAGCTCTTTAGGGCAATCGCGTCTCCGAATCACTTGGCAGCATTCCCTGCACTGGTATACCTGTAACGACAATAATTTTTTTAAACATAACCATTTCGAGAAAATTACATGATAATTAACTTTGTTCATTAAGATACATTTTCAAAACACTTACCCTGTCGCAATGTGAAAACTCTTGATTCCCAGTGACGGCTTTGTGTGCTTCGAAGCAGGCATCGGAGCGGCAGAGACGGTCACAATCCTGACATCGTTGGGGCTGGCCTGGAATACAGTCGGTCCTCAAACATATGGGGCACAGGCATTGGCACATCGGTGGTTTTCCGGCATGTTTCATAGGCCTTTTCACAGGACTGCAATAATGGTTTGCTACCGAAAAAATCCTTTCAGGGATTTGATGACGTCATAATGCACATCGTGAAGCCACAAATTGATCCGTTGTGCTCCTCTCTCTTCCCTTTATAGACCACCTAAAACATAGACAAAAAATTTTTCTCTTAAATTCCAAAATAAAACCCTTTAGAAATCAGTTTTTAAATTTAATTACATACGTAAAGCGATCTAAAAATTCCCTGTGTATTTATAATATCGAAACGAATTACATAAAATTAATCTAAAAATTTCACCATGCGTTTTTACAAGTCATATTTTTAACATCTAAATAAATAGTGTGCATTCTATGCGAACATGCATAAACATAAAGTTAATCTAAAAATCTAAAGTAATTTTAAAAATAAAGATTCACGTTATATTTTAAACTTCTAAATGAAAAACTTTTCTCTAAAAATAAATTCCAGAATCGAACAATTTAGAAAAAGAATACATTCAGTTTTGAACATTATATTTTTTAATGCAGAACCGAATTTAAAGTATTCTAAAATGCTAAAGTTCTCTAAAAATAAAAATTCACCATGCGTTCGGTTTTTAGAAATTACATTTTTTTTAAATATGGAAACGAACTGCATATAGGCATAAAGTTAATTTAAACATTCACTGTGTATTTTCTCAAGATATATTTTTTAACATGAAAACAAAAATAATCAAAAAAAAACCATAATATTAGTCACTTAATTTTTCAGTCCGTTTTAAAAACTGTTTAATGTTAACACTACTTTTTAAAAATTACTCATGTACCCAAAAAATTTTTATCATAAATATAGTATGGAACAACAAATAGAAAAATCAAGTTACGATTTTAAAAAAGCCCTAAAAATGTAAAAAAATCTCGTTTATAAAACATAAAAAACAAATTTTGAAAACAGAAATATTTTAATTGAGACAAAAATAATGACTTACCCGGTTCAAATTTTCCGAAGAAAAGACTACAATTTGGACATCCAGGTGATCTTCAAATATGGCGATTTCAGTAAATGTGCAAGAGCCTAGGGGCACATTTGCATCTAAATGAAGATCCCTTGCACAGTTCATCAGTGTTGGATTACGCCGATCTCTCAAGGCATTGATGGCGCTCGAATCCTTGTTCAAATGTGCTAAGGCATAAACAATCGCTTTAGCACAACACAGTCCTTCGTCATCGTACGGAATAGACAAAATAGACTGTTTTCTCAATCTGTCTATGGAGATATTGATGACTCTCCGATTTCCTCCGGCACCCACAGGTCGTCTGATAGGTGATCACATCCACCGGAGAACCCTGTGTCCAGCTCGAATCTTGTCTTTGGACTGCAACACTTTCATCACAGGCAGCCAAAATTTTTTCAACCGTTAGGTTTGAAACTGTCCATCAGAGATGTGCTGATGGGTTTATCCAACCCTTCTGCCTTGGATGCAAAACCGTATAAGATCCGATGGGACCCAAATCGGCTGTTGTCCGGCGAATGAGTTGTTCAAATAATTCCCGGACGGTGTCAGGAATTCGGACCATCGGGATGCCTTGCACGCCTTGAGGCAGTCTTTCGATGTCCACACAAGCGTGGAAGGTAATCTCCTCGGCTTGATATTTATGATTGCGACGACGAGACTTTTCCGTAAGAACAATTGCCTCATCGATCTGAAACATAAAAATAAGTTTTCATTAAGAATCAAACATTTTCAAAAATACATTATTTCAATAAATCATGTAAAAAAGAAAAATATATACCGAACGTTCATCGGAACCGGCTATGGATACAGGCCCACAAGCTGATGAAGGAGAAGTCTAAAAATAAGTAAATAAATAAAAAATAAATACATTCATTTCTAGTACTAGAAAAAATATTCTAATCGAATCATAACGAAACGAAAGTTTACCTCAAATCCGGATAATACAAGGGTAGATCCATAGGATTTTCCAGAAAAATCTGATCCACTTCATCGATTAACTATCAAATTAAATAAAATACGTTTAAAATACATTCAAATAGTAATAAAGTACGTTAAATAAAAAGTGCGTTAAAATACGTGTAAAAAACTTACATCGTCATCTGAGTCCCGAAAAGGAAAGTCAGGATCTTCAAACAGGACCTAGCAATTAAAAATTTAAATAAATGAAACATTAAAAAAAAAAATGAAATTCGTGTTTAAAATAGTAATCTAGAAATTAGGTACAAGCGAAACATACTTACATTAGATACAGAATAAGTTCGTTTAGTAGACATCGTGTAGAAGAAAACGAAATGGCGCAGGAAAATGGCAGAGTCAAAATGACGTTCACTCAGCAAGAATCAGAGTAGAAATGATGAAATCGTGAAAGCGAGTGAATTTATAGGCGATATACAATGAAAGAGAAACGCTGATTGGCTGAAATAAGATAGATATTGTTAGCGGAATGCTGATTGGTTGTTAAGATTGTATACGTTCGCCACGGCGGATGCAGAAAACGTGAAGCGGTTTCGACAGGCTGCAACGTGAAAGAGATGACGTCTGCCTGCTTCCCCCAGCTTCGTGACGTCATGGTTGTTTTTCTACTCAACGCGATAATCTGACATTGTTTGAAAGGTCTCGCTGGCATAGTGGTTTGGGCAATCGTCTGCCATACTAAAGGTGGCGGTTCGAATCCCGCTCGTGGAGTTACTTTTAAAATTCATTAAAAACAGATTAAAATATAATGGAATCAATCAAAAGTAATTAAATAAATAATGACGTACTAAATAATTAAGATACTTATTAAAAAAGAGTAAATAAGTAAAATTAATGACATACAAAATAGTAATAATATTAATCAAATATCAAACTAATATTAATCACGTGTCAAATAATTAAAAATAATAAATTAAAAGAGATGTCATTCCAAACACGTGGTTCAAGAGTTCGTTGCCACAAAAACCTAAAAATATATATTCAATGCCACAAAACATAAAAACTTTGAAACATAAAATCGTTGCCACAAAATCAAAACGAAACTTTGAGGATGTCATTCCGTCTACGTCATTCCTTCCATCTACGTCACTTCCGGCTGTCACGTGATCCAATATGGCACCGGTGTCGTCACTTCCGGGGGAAATCCAAGATGGCAGAGGCCACGCCCCCGTTGAGTCACCCATTGTTCTATTACGTCATGGCGGCATCCTTTGACCGCACGGTTACCCGCGCTTACTACTTACCATTCAGCTCAGGAATGTGAAATAGTGGCATTTTCTAATATCCGTTCTTGAATGCGTGGATTCTTTAAAAACCTTGGATCAGTGCGTCTCTAGTACACCCATTTTTATATTCTTCAGCAGTAACAGACTTAAATTCCCAATCCTTGCTCAGTTACTTTAATATTTGTGAATATTCATTTACAGCAGACTCACCCGTTTGTTGTAATCTAGATGTTAAACAACGCCGGAAAAATATTTAATTTCTTTTAGTAATGTACAATGAATCTGAAACAGTAATTGCATTATCATACGATTCAGAGTCATTAATTTGTTGATTAACACTTGCAGATACAAAATTACATAAGAGTTGTAGCATTTGTCTGTTTCACTTCTGTGAGGAAATTTGAAAAAGTTCTTTTTTCCAGTATTTCTATTCAAATTTTGCTCCAACAGATGCGGGTTCAACATGAAATATTTCTAATTTCAAAAGGGTTCCCATTTGGGGGAAAAATTAAAGCATAAATTAGGTATAATTGATTAAATTATTGTAAATGTAGTAAATCATTTCTTTCCAGAAGCTCATATAAAGCTTTAATCAACTGAAACAGAGGGCTAAATGCTAAGTTGTGAGAATATCATTTAAACAAATAATAACTGTTGCCATTCCATGTAATATTGGTGCTGCCAGTAATAATAAATAATAAGTTAGGACAAAAATAAATCTTTAAGAAATCAGTCAACAATGGAAGAATTACAAAGC